CTTTTTAAACCAGTGTATAAGAGATTGCGATTGTTAAACCTGGTTTGTGAAAGAGAGATTCCACACAAGTGGAGTGCTCAAGTTTCCCTTCTCTCCCATTTTAAAATGCCAGTTGATGATTATTCTTGCACTGTTGCATTCACTGCAGGATTACTGGCAAAATATCTTTAGTTTCCCAAGTCAATCCTCATGGAATTTCACCACATGTTTAGGCATATTATTCACATTCAATCCCTGAATTTAACATTATTTTTCAAATTACTCCCTTAAAACAGCTTCTGTCTGTGAAGGTCCAGGCTGCTTGTTACCTGGCTCTGCTTTTGAATACAGGAAAAGAAAATGATGCAGCAGTTCCAAGACTGAGACTGCTGAGCAACTTTAAAGATAACATTTTTCCAAGGTTTTAACATGACAGACAAGTTGCTTTCACAATAACCTAGCTTGACTATATTTCTGTTTCAAGATAAACCATAGAATGATTTGGATTCCAGAAACCTCTTTCCACACTCATGAGAGGGAAAGGCACAAACCATCTGAATGCCTAATAAAGAAGAAAATAATTATACATAAAAATTACTGTTTTGAAGAGCAGCTTCATAAGCAGAAATTTGAACTTGCACACCATTGATTTTCTTCTTGACAAATGAAAGTTGTGGTGTATTTTCTCTATAAAAACAAGGCAACCTTCCCCCACTCCAAGCCTTTCACAGCTGAATTTCAGATGAGCAGTATCATGGATGTTTGTGTGGACATGTCATAGTATCTTTGATAGTTATATTTACATTTTTATAATGGATTTTTAACTCCTACCTTAGTAACAGCCTATCTTAATGTTTCTTCACATTTCTAGATCATTTCAGAACACCAGGGATTAGGTGACAGACTACATGTTGAGTGCGCAGAGAGATTAATCCTACAGAAAAATCACCAAATTAGTCCTTTCCCAACCCAAGCCACAAGATATTTCATCTTTATAATAGAGTTAAGAAACATGAAGATTGAATTCCCTATTCTGCAGAGTGTAAGTCATTTCAATTGTCAATACTAAATAAGATGTAACTAAAAACTGTGTCAGGTGTGTGTCATGGAAGCATTCCAGAAAGTTTTGTTTCTCACTAGTCATATTCTCTCGCATACAAAGCAGTGCTAATGCAGTGGCAATACATCCAGAATTTTCTTATAGTACAAGTAATCTAGAATTTGGGCTGTCCAGTCAGGTGTGCTTAACCTACTCTATCTGTGCCACATTATGGCAAGAAACATCCCTGCAACATGCATACCGACTGGGACATAACTTACATTGACAACTTTTCCCAGAAAAATTCTAAGGATCAGAGATAGGTTGCACTTCTGTGCACATTTCCTGCCAGGGTTGTTTTTTTTTTGTAAGAAAAATAAATCCCTGATGCAGCAAAGCACACTTTGTTGGTATGGAAGATAAGGTGCACAGTGATGTTCTGTTCATTTCATAGCTTGTTCCAGTGTCATGCAAGTCCTGTAGAATGCACCATTACCTCCCAAATGGTGTCTTTGTCAAGAATGCTAGATTTTTGCTGAGAGTGGATAGCTGCCTGAAGTTTTAATAAACATGCAGAAATACTGGACCAAGGCTATTGAACATGCTCCAAATATGGTGGATTGATCTTTGAAAAGGAACTTGAATTTTTTGCTCCATGGTTTCAAGGTCTACCATTCCATGAACTGCTATTTTTCGTCTATATAGGGAAGAACACAAACCAAGCATTTGGAAAGAACTGGGTAGCAAAAGCCCAGAGTTTAACAAGTAGCAAACTTAACACTAATCTTAAAACTAAATTTAAGTATTAAACATTCCACCCACAACACAGAAGTTCCTTTTTTCCCCTTCCCAGCTCATCAGCTAAATTGAATGACACTTAGATTTTTCAGACTGCATCTTTGGTTGAGGCATTTCCTTTCAAAGGGAGCTCTACTCTTTTAGAATGCTACACAATACACTTGTTGCACAGCTAATGGCAGTTAAGAGAAGAGAAAATGAGTACTAATTAGCATTAAAGATACTGATCACCTTAAAATCAGTTAATTCAAGCATATCTTGGTTTCTCTATTACACTACTGTGTTTCAAGTGTTCTGGTAGCTGGTATGTCTGACACAAAGGAAAATGATTTTAAAAAAATCACAAAAACACAGAAAAGGTGGAGAGTGATTATCATCATTTCCTCAAAACACAAAGATCAAGGAGCACTCAAAAGAATTACCACATTATGTACTGATATTATGTTACTCTTACTGAGGTCCATCAATAAAGGGAAAATAAGTGGCCAGCAGACAATGGAGAAAGGTCAGAATCAGTGCAGACTTAAAACAGATGAATGCACCTCTAATCCAATTGCTCTAAGTTCATATCTTCGAGTACTGAGCTCATGCACTTGGTTAAGCCTACAACTGGATGGCATCTCTGCCTCATTCCAGGGCAAATTTCAGACAGTACTCCAGACTTAGAAGCTAAACACAAGTCAATCAGCTCACTGAGTAATTCGCCATTTGTTGAATATACATTCACTGTATTATTACGGAATTCGCAATCGCATCATTAAGAAACACAGAAAGCCTAGATATATTTTATCTTTAGATTTTTTATTATTATTTCAGAGGCACTTAATGTCTTACATTTATATAGCGCCATTTCCCCCTCCAAAACACTTTACAGTATTTACACACAGGAATGTTTCCCACCACTGCTGAAATACAGCCATCTGACTAGTACCAGTACTGTCTTCAAAGCACCAACAGTTTGAGACTGAAAGTAGTCATCAGTACTTTGTCTTACTAAGATGGTTCAGAACTCCAACTTACGAACTTCCAACTTGTGCTATTAAAGAAACATAACTACTAAAATACAGTATCACAGTGCAACTCTGCAACAGAACTGAGACTCGAATCATTTTCATTAGATTTTTACAATCTTTCATTAGATCAAGTCTGTCTCAAACACTTTAATGTAAGGCCTTTTAAGAATAGAATTCTAAACATCATTCATTCTTATACTTTCTTTGTAAGCCTCTCTTACAATCAAGCACAGAACATCATTTTTCTTTCCTTCCAGTATATTAGAAACACTAAGTCCTGGCCCAAAGGAGGTACCAGCACCTTCAGTTTTAATGAGTTTCATGGCATCTAAAGGCAAACCTATTCCTCCTTGTTTTTGGAGATGGATCTGTTTGTTTGTTGTTAGTTTTAAAAATAAATATGAGATTACACAAAATTCTGTTATAACCAGTTAAATTGTAAAGTACCTTGGGATTGGCTGCTGGGGAGCTATGTAAGTGTGCTGTGTGGTTTTGCTTGTCAGCATTAAGAATACATTAAATTACCCCAAGTTCACTACTCCACTGCAAATGACTGCCCTAATTACAAAGGTCATAGCAACTTTCTCATTTTAGAGATTTTTTTTTTAATGTCTCTCTTAAAAGGCTACTACAACATCTCTTCCAAGAGAAGGGGTTGTATTTGTGCTGAGAACTTTCACAAAATAAAACCCAAACCAAAAAACCTCCCCACACAACAACCTATCTGGCACCCCTATTTTCATGGTTACAATTAGGAGACTACCACCTCACATCCAGCATGCTGCTACCTGCTACGTTATGGCTGATGTGAGAATCTGAACAAAGTACAAAAAGAGATTAGTAAAATCAGGTATCTATTTGCCTTCTTGTAGAACAAGCAGAAAAATTTATTCTGGTATCTTATTCTCTTGAATCTGCTATACTTGAGAGAGCAGCTTTTTTGATTTTCATTGATGCATTATACTCTGAATCTACTGTGGTCACTAGATTCATAGACCAGAGTAACTCTTTGCATTTGAGTATTCTGAAAGAACTGTAGTACTGACAAGCAGGGGCAAGAACTGTGATAAAACAAAAAATATTAACAGGTAGCAATTTCAACATGAAAGATAACAACTAATCAAATTGGGTAAAAATTAACAAACAGCAGTGCATCCAAGTACATATCCATTTTATAAAAAGTTGGGTTTTTTTCAATCTAAACCCTTGACAAAAGGTGCACAGAGAACAGATGTATTGCATATTTTATGCATGCCTTCATGTAGTGCATTCCTACATTATATCTTATATGGAATACTAAAAAACTACTAGACCTTCACTGTACAACAGGTATTGTAATTTTTTGTTTTAAAGCCTAAACAGCAATTCAGTTTGAATTATACCTTCCTATTCCCTGATCACAAAAATCACCTTGCTGCATTTTTGTTTGTCAAAGTCAAATGGCAACCACAGTAATCATTTGTATGGAAAAAAACGGTTACAGTAAAGTATTTAAGGAGTTTGGTTTCTCAAGGGGATTTGGCAGTTGGAAGACAACCAGCAAGGACTAGAGATCCTTAGATGGCAGTGAGAATCACCGGAAAATAATTTGTATCAAAAAATCAAGAAACCTCATGACAAGAGAATAAACATGAAGAATGAAAGCATTGTTTTAAAAGAGGAAGTACCATTATCACTTTCAAATTCTGGCCTGAACAGAAGCTAAACCCATGAGGAGATGTGATTTTTTTGAAGAGGGAGAAAAGGAGGAACTTCAAAAAAGTAACTGCTGTATTGCAGGACTGAACACAGGACAGACAGCAAGCTGCTATTTCACAGATTAACATTTCTGAGCCCATTCTAACCTCTACTGACTTAAGGAGAGGAATGACAGGACCCACATTCTTTTCTCTGTTTCTACTTGTGGGAATCATTCATTTCTTCAGAGCAAAAACCATTCACAAGATTGTTTGATATAAGGAACATCACTTTTCTTTCATCCTTTTTTTTTTTTGTGGGTCAGTACTTTCCTCCCTCAACCACATCTCAACTCTTCATTACCACAGTATTTCTTTAACAAAAAAAGGACAGTTGGGATGGGGAATGGATGAAGCTCTTGCTAAACTGTGAGAGAATGGGATTGCTGAGCTGCAGAGAGAACTGCATGGACAGACAGATGTTGAAGAAAATTCAAAGCCCAGCAAAGAACAAGCTAAAGCTTTTTGGTTTTTACCATCAGAAGGAATTAGTTTTGTCTTTTAGTTTCAGTTCATCCTTTATCAGCAAGGGCACATTGGCTACATCACAAGGCTTGGACAAGGAAAAGGCTCTTTCATTTACCAGGGCACAGATCTGAAGATGGGACAATGTCCTGCACCATGCTAAATCACTCTGAAATATGCATAGAACAGAGTGAAAATCCAAGACTGCTTTGCAGGAACAAGAGAGGTAGCAACCCTAATTTTAACAGGGCTTTTCACTGAAGGGAAAGAAGGTCTACAAAAGTCAAACCAGCCGATTTCAAATGGTTTGCATCCCAGGATGAATCAGGTTACACCGATTTAAGCCCAATTTAATTTAGGCAGGTTTTTAAACCACAAGAATAAGGACATTCTTAGTACATATCAATAATTAAACCAACATATACACAATTAGCAATATCCTACATAATAGTAAATGCTTAACAAGCTGAGTAATTTTATGGTACATTGTCTGACATTCTACACACTTCCTGTAATCATCAGTCTCTGCAGCAGTTCAGTTCGTGACTTTAAGATCCAAATTCAACTGTGTCTTCAGTTATTTTCTTGAACTCATAGTTTCCTCTGCCATCCATATGCAAGTAGAACTGAATAAAAGAACATGTATTATTAATCACCTAAAAATTACCAGGTCTATACAGGCCTAAATAAATTGTCTTTTGAAGTAGTTTTAATGTAAGAATCTTAAACTCAGCTAGCCAGAGGGTAAGCTGCTCCCAACCTCACATTTCATTAAGTTCAACTGCCTCTCTAAAAAATGTTAAACGGGTTTTGTTTGGGTTTTTTTTTGCCTATCATACATCAGTCTGCTAACAGCCACACCTAGACTTAACACTGCTCTCTTGGGTTTTGTGACAATATACTTAAGGTACACATTCATCCCTGTGTGCTGTCAGTATTTTTACCCATACATACAGTGTGTCTGAATCAAAAGAACAGTAAAATCTTAGTTTTCAAGAAGAGAAGTTCATATATTAGAGATGAACTCTTTTTAAAGCATAGATATATTTGGTACAGTGAAAGCAAAAAACTCCATGCTGTTTACTGGATTCTAGTTCAGGAGGGTTTTGTGGCTAAGGAAGAAGACTTGAACATCTAGTAATCCTTTCATATTTTTGTGGCTACTTTGATAGATACATTTAAGGATTTTTGGATAGTGTTCCTTCCTAACTTGAAGCATAAGAATATTTCAAATAGTGCAACTACATTATGAAAGTAAAACCTTAAAAAAAATAAACCAGAACATAACCTACTAGGATGTAAAATGACAACACTTTGAATTGTAAAGTCAGTTTAATAAAGTCAGTCCACACAACCCCCACCAGCTACAGACAGTAAAGCAAAGACTACATACCTCATGATGTTTCCAGAGTGACTTCCTGTGGGAGACAGTGAAGAGAGTGATGCCAACCTATATGATGAAAATAGCCACAAAACAGTTATTTTTTTCTCATGGGTTAAGTATAATTTATTTTTCAGCATGGTATCAGGTGAAGCTCTTAAATTCGTAACCATAAACTTCCAGGCTATTATTAACACTATACATACAGAGCCTTAATACAAGATTTTGGATTAGGAAAAACAACCAGGAAGGATTTATCTTTTTTAATAGATTTCAACATTCTTGTGCTCCTAATGATTTGTCAAACATAGAATGAACTGGGCAAAAGAGGTAAGGCAGGAGGCAGGTAAAACAATAAACCTGGTGAATAAAGGAAGTCTAACAAGAACAAATAAAAACCAAAATCACAAAAGCTATAATGAATTATAAACTTAGAGTGACAATTTAAAGGTGAATAATCATCCTTTGTTTTGTTGCAATTCAGTTAACTATTCATTCCTAACAGCAGCAGCAAGGACAAAACAACTCTGTGATAAAAGGTAACATTTTTCCTTTCTGCACGGACAGCTTCACTGGGAACTCTGTTTTTCAGTAACACACATTAGCCACTTGGCAAGTACAAATGAACATTCAAGTTAACAGAATAGGTATGGAAGATAGACTTCAAAAATTGTCAGGGTACTGATATCAACGTGGCAAAACTAGTACAAGAAATAATTTCCTTTCTTGTGCAGAGTCCTGACCTAGTGTCAAGTCACTACTACACAAGGCTCCTTAAGTTTCCACTTCAAGTTTCAAACCTGTATTTCAGTGGATGCACAGTTCTGCTTCATTACCATTCTGAGAATATTACTATTCAACAACTAATGTTATTTCAAGCCCATTCTTTCCTAGACTAGGGGTGTGAAATTGAATCTTACTGACATTTCACACAGCACAACCTAGAATCTGAAAGAGTGAATTTCAGAGGGAAAGGAAAAACAAAACTGTATTTAATATCATCATGTTTTCCTAGAGTGCTTGGCTTTTCCTATCTCAAAATAGATGGAAATGTTAACTTTCAGCCTTTCACTTCTGTTGCCTTGGCCAAAAGAAACATCTCCAACAACAGAAGTCTAAAGTTTTAGATTATTTGATCTTCACTTGACATTCTAAGACTTGATGTGGAAAAGTAAGGCTACTTAGCAGTTAGAGTTCTCTGTAAATCACAGAAGCCACATCTAAATTATCCTAAGACTACAAAACAATTGCTGAATTCCAAGGTGCATAAAGGGTCCTTGCATGCCCTTCTAAGCTAATTTTTAATCTGCATTAGGCATAATAAGAGTGAACCTTATGTTGTTTTAAGTTTCCTCTGAACACACAGATATAATTCTAGAAACGAAGAGCTTACCTTGCGGCAGTGGCTGTAAATGTAGCCTTCCACATCAACACTAACAGCACTGGTGCACTCATCCAGAATTGCAAACTGTGGCTTATGATAGAACAACCTTGCCATCTGGAATGCAAACAAAAAAAAACCTGCTGTGGACAGAACTAAAACCAATAGTGCAGTCTTAGAAGTAAAATTAAGAATTCATGTCCAAAAATGTACTATGGCAAGGAAATTTCCTTTAAGTTGGTACCTACCAAAACCTGAAAATCCAAGAGCTTTATAACAGAATCATAGAATTTTAGGGGTTGGAATGGACCTTACAGATCATCTAGTCCAACCCCCCTGCCATGGGCAGGGACACCTCCCACCAGACCAGGCTGCTTTATCCATCCTGGCTCTGAACACTGCCAGGGTTGGGGCAGCCACCACTTACCTGGGCAACCTGTTCCAGTGTCTCACCACCCTCACAGCAGAAAACAGTTTTCTAATATCTAAACTGAACTTCCCCTCCTTCAATTCGGATTTGTTATCTTTGGTTGTTTTTTTTTTTGGAAGACAATTATTTTAGAACTTCTCCTTAAACAATGAAAGCATAAGGCATGGTAAAAGGTGAACATTTCCTTTCAGATTTTGAGTACAAAAAACACTATTTTCAGCTCTCAGTATTCAGGTATTTCATATTTTGGGGGTTTCATCTAAGTAAAACATTGAGCTTCCAATTCAGACTACAGTTTTGACTTATGTTCTGTATCTGTTAAGTATTTATGCTTTTGAGACATACAGCCATTCTCTGTTTTTCTCCCCCGCTGAGTACATCCATCCAATCCTGAACACTGTCCCAGCCTCCTTCACGCTCCAGGATTTGGCCCAGCTGGACATTATCCAAGTACTCCTTCAGCACCTTTTATGGAAACAGAAATGACAAATAAAGCTAACATGAACTTAAAGAAATGGTTGGAAAAGGTTATAAAGAATTATACCATTACATTATCAACCCTGGCAAATATTAAAATCAAATTAAATGCAGTGTTTTTAATAGCAGTTTCAGTATTTCTACATCTGAATCATTATTGATCCTAAGCAAGACAAAGGGTTCATGAACTAATTATCATTACCTGGTCAGAAATCCCCTTCTTTCTCTGATCTTCCAAAGTATCTGGATATATAACTTGATCTCTGAGCGTTCCAAGAGTCATATAGGGCCTCTGAAATACAGTTAGAGCCAAAAAGGTATGTCAGATATTTCTAAACACAGTCAAAGACAGAACATTATTGTCAAGTAAAGTACTTGGTCTCACCTGGGGAACATAGAACAACTTTCCTCTAACAGGTTTTGTTAAACGCCCACCAAACAAAGGCCACAACTGCAACAGGAAAAGGGTTAAACCTTAATCGAAAGAGTCCAATTACAACTGTGTTTTACATTCTCCCCCCCGTTTAATTTAAAATGCTCCCTTACCTCACCAAGAACACGAAACAGTGAGCTCTTCCCACACCCATTTGGCCCACAAATCAGCACATTTGCACCAGATCGAACCTAAAAATGCAAAGCCAACACATTAAAAGGGTAGTGAGAAAGTACTGTTGAAAGCTTCTACAAACACTGAGATGAGCTGGTACCCTCACAGGTTTGTACATGCTACTTTGGCATTACATGCCAGTCATTTCCAGCAATAATTACTTTTCCCCCCCCCAACTAGTTTAGAAGCACCTGCAGCTGGAACAAAACACACTTATCACAATAAAAATATTTTGGGGGAAAATAGCTTATTGCCCTTTTTTTAAAACTAACATGATGATTTGTGTACACATTTTTTATAAATTAGATTATCTTTGAAGTTCTCATCTTCACTTTTAAGTTTTGTATTACTATTGTTTTCTATGATATTAAAAAACTTACCTCAAAGTTAAGGTCTTGTATCAGAACATCTCCATTAGGTGTCACCAATGGAACATGATCAAACCTGCATGTATTGCAACATTAAAAAAAAATTAAAAAATGAAGAGTTGCCTGAAAGAAGCTAATACTGAACTCTCACTCTAGAGATTTAAGGAACAGGGCAACACCTCAGCAGTACTTCATTCACTCTCCCAGTTTCCAGCTACTAACAGCTAAGGAAGTTCTTGAACCAAAATGATACCTTAGCAATTAAACATCTACGGGTTTGGTTTTGTCCCCTTCATATATTTGTTTTCTGAATCCTTCTAAGCCTTTGGTCTCTTTAAAGCATCTTGTGGATATAAACCTACATTTAAGGACGCACATTCATTGTAAAGCTGCTAGGGAAGTGTATTTCATGAGTTCCAGGATACACAATGAATGACTTCTCTGCTCACCTCCCCCTTGACATTTTCAAATTAGGTCATAAAACCAGCTGTATCATCTCCTTTCTTTCTCTTTTCCCCCTTCCTCCACTTCTTTCCCATCTGCTTTCCACACTGACCAGATTGAGGTTATTTATCTCTTAACTGGCTTTACTTTAGGCCTATAAGTAGCAATACTATGTCAATGCTATGTTTCTCAAGCTGCAAAGAATGAAGTAATTGATCATTACATGAGTACATCAATGAAATCTCTAAGCATGCAGAAATGCAAGCAAATATTTTGAAAATGAAAATCGACTTGCCCCTAATTTTTACAACTGAATTATGACATAAAATCTGTAACTAACCTATTTCTAAGAAGAAACAAAATGGTCTGGGAAGTCATATTCCAAAGGACAGTAAGAAATCTTGCAAAAAAACCTAAGTCCAGAGAGCATATTATACCTCCTGCTACCATGAGAGGATAAGGACTTACAGAACAGAAATGCTGAGTGGGTGTGAGGTGGAATCACTTGTAAATAAACTATATTACAACAGGAATTGCAAATTGTAATAATGTGTATTAAAACATCTATTAATAGTGCCAGAGGGGAAGACTTAAAAGCCAGTCTGCATTAAAAATACTGAACTTGTGGAAACTTGGTAAACGTACTTGATAATGTTATCGGTGTTGATAATCTCTCCAGATCCAGGTACCAAAGACAAAGCTTGCTTTTTCTCTGCATCTTAAATTAAGAAAAAAGTATTAGAGACTGGAACACTATGCAGAGCTGCACATATTGTGTATTATGTCACACCTACCTTTTTCTTGTGATATCATCGTACGCTGATATTTGCCACTATTCAAGTCCTTCAGAACCTGCATTAATTCTGTAATTCGAGCTGTGAAACTGAGAAAAAAATAAGAACTCTAAGTAATTAATCTTTAAAGTTTTAGAAATCCACAGAAGCTCTAATGAGCATTCTGTTAAACTCAAAGTGACAAAGTTATTCAACCCAGCACAGAAACAGAATGTTTACATTTTAGAGTTGCACCAGGTTGTCCAATACGCACAATGTTTACAAGATCCTTTTCCTTTAATAGCCAAATTTTTCTTCTTAAGATGTAAAAAATAAGTTTGGTAAATACATAATTGCTTTAAGAGCACTTGACAGTGTCTCCCCTCAATTAAACATTCAAACTCTATGTTGCTACTATTCAGATTTGAAACTACTAGTGGACATAATTAGCACATCAGATATGCTTTCAGCACAAAATGTTTATAATTTCTTGAATTTTAGGGTGCTGCAAAGAACAATGCACATAAGCTTATTTTAATTCTACAGTCACTTTCTTAAAATGCGATGAGAAACAGCAAAAAAGGTTTACAAGAGATTCTTTTACACAACTCCTATGAAGCTTACCCAGCCAATCTTGTCATTTCACGACCTGCTAGGACTATTCTGCCCAAAGCTTGAGACATTCTCAGTAACATTCTTCCACTTTGGTAGTAATCCTAGAGTAGAACAAAGTTTCTTTATGTGGACTAACAAGACTTAAAAATCAGGAGACTGTTTTAATTCTGGTCTATTTACCTCTAGAAGTTCTGCATGAGTACTGTTCTGATGACGAGGATCAGCCAGGTTCAAAAATGGACGACTAACAACCAGGTAACCAACCACAGTGGCAAGGTCTGCAGTTTAAGAATAAATATTACACTACATATTCATTTAAAGAATAAGAAAAGAAGACAATTCTCACATAAAAAGCTCGTTTTGTTATCCATTAGCACTGGACAAACACTTACATTTGGCAATGATAGTATCAACGAAACCCATAGAGAACCGAAACAGGATGAAATTATGCAAGTGTTCCACCTGGTAAGTTACAGAAGAAAAAAGTTCAAACTCTCAGTACCTGTTTTACTATCTTTTATTATTTTACAGATAATTGGTTCCAAAGAGTTGTTTTTCAGTATGTCAGACACCTCAACACACCTGTAAGTGTGCCTAGCACTGCAGAACAGTCCCTGCTGGCAGAGACTTGCACTTGAGATCAAAACAACCTGCACATGCAACTAAACAATGAGAACAGTAATTGTGGTGGGTAAAAGGAGGTAAGTGGCAAGAAATAAGACCATTCCATCAGAAACTTGTGTTCTACTTATAGCCTACTAGTTTGTTTTTTAATCCAATGTCTGTACCAGCAAGAACACCAAGCTACTACAACCAATTTATATGAACACGTCAAGAATCAGCACGATAGAATTAATTGATGCTTTGCTTAAAATGTTTCAAGAGATCAAAGAAGACTTACCAGTTTACGGAAGGTTTTGTGAATAGTCTGTTTTTCTCTCAAGTTTCCATTATAAAAAGCAATTTCTTCACTAAGCAAAAACAAACAAAAAGAATGCAACTTCATTTTGTTACAGTCTTTGAAAAAATTCAGCCATGAACCACGGGAATCTAGCTCTTTCAGTCACCTTATGAAATAAGGGTTTGTACTTTCCCCAAAAGTAGAACATAAGCTTATTATACCCCAGCTACAGTTTTTCTTCTGAGTAAGGAATATAATGCACTACAAATTACTTTATAATAATCTGCAAAGAAGATGTAAACAGTCTTCTCAGAACTGACAGCATCAGACTTCCCAAATAAAGTAATGCTGTGGGGTGAAATGTGTCATTTATGTCTTGTCTTCCAAGCAAATCTGTACCTGTTTGTAATGAGCCGTGAGTTGACATATCTGTACTCCCCTTCATATTTTTGTTCTGTAATAGTCATCTTGCCAATTGGTCTCCTTAGACGTGTAAGGAAAAACCCTGAAATAATCAAGTATGCCATCATGCTGGCTGGACCCTGTGAATATCAAAAAAGAATAAGAGCTTAAAATCTAGATGGTCTCAAATGGCAACACATATACCCAAAATGTCCAGAAAGCATGAATCCCTTCATTCTTACCTCCCATGTACCTATGGTACCAATTCAACTAAACTTGCAATTCCCACCATGTTCCCTTCTTCCTGTTGTAGATGCTGTTTAACTAATTTGACTAGTTCTCTGTCCCCAGATGCCCTTCCCATCCCACCATTCTACTCAAGTTTTTATCATCACCCAGTGTCATCTGTGTCCTACTGTTGTAGCTTATTTCACTAATAATTTCCCGGTCTTCTCTTATGTCCTCTCCTTCATTTCTACGTACTTCTTTTTCTCTACATTTGTTACACTGTCATAGCAGTCAATATATTCAATCCCATTCTGTTCTTTGATATACACATCTCCAACACATTTCCTGGTTCTTTTAAGCTGTCCTGGTAGGAATCCATTCTTCTGGATCCTAAGCTTCTAAGGACCAGGGCACCCAAACAGCATGCTTAAATATTACTGCAGTGTGGCATGGAATAAACTGAATTTGGCATAAACTGCCTGTAACAACTATTACAGAGAGCAACGTAAAAACATCTGAGACTGGAAATTACCTAGGTTCAGTTAAGCCTTACTGCTAGTCTGCCTCAAAATCTGTGTCCCAGATCTGCTACTTGTCAACTCCTGAACATTTATGACAATGCAACATTTCACTAAGCTGAAGAATTATTTCTGAAATTATTCATCTTATTGGTAGGAGAGGGGAGAGAATATAATGGTCTTATGGCTCAATGCAAGGAATGGTTCCCTTTTACAGAGGCTGCACAGAAACAGAAAAATTATTTTCACCCTTTAATGGAATTCTTGCAAGTCATAAGCAGTCAGAAGGGTACTGCACTAAATGGGATTCCCAAATAAATGCTAAAAGAAAATAAGGAACTTTCTTGTTTCTGAAAATTGTTGATTGAATGCCTGCAAATTCTAGGGTTTATTTTCCTTGTCTCAAAATAAAGACCCCTAAAGCATACAAAATATTAAATGTAAATGCTTATTTTCAGTATATTCCTTCAAATAACAGAACGAATCTATAATTACCACCTAGATGTTTCCTCAGATTCCAAACAGGTATAAGGCTAGAGCCAAAGAAGGAAAAACATACTTATCATTCTAAAAAACCCATTCAATTTACCTGTGCTCCTATTGCACTTGTTAGCTTGAAGATATACAAAACTATATCCAAGAAGGGCTGTAAGAGAAGCATAGAAAAAAAGCATTTGAAGACAAACACAAAATGAAGATAAAATGATACAGAAACCATGCACCACCCCAAGAACAGCTATAGTTCTGCATTGAAAGCACAATGCTGGCTAACCTATTATACAAAGTAAAGGCTAAAACAACAGCAATCTCAGCCACATGACTTTTCCCAGAAAACATTCACTCAAGAATTGAACATAAAAGCATCACAATCTTCAGATAAACTTGTACCATATAAAAAAGTACATTTCATTATTTTAGGTCTGTAATAACATTCTGCTCACTAATCACAGGTGGACTAGACCCCATGATTACTTAAGTGATCTAATTGTGAGAAATACTGAAAGAAAGGGCAATGCCATATATTTGGCTATGTAACTGATAGAAGGGACATGCCAAATTGCAAGAATCCTGTTCTATAACCTCTCTCTCAATGCTCAAACAGCTGAACTATAGGTTTTGCAGTGAGAAGTTTTGACAAAGTAACCTGTAATTTACTTATATTTCAGCTTGTATGAAAAATATAGCATCAAAAAAACTCAGTCAAAAATGTCAGCAGTATTCTCCTTCATTACCTAAACCCCCTAAAATTTACTCCAGAAACAGGGAAAAGGTTATTCAACCACTATCCCTACCCAAAATAATATTTGTATGTAACTAAAAGCTAGCCACTGATTTTCTTCTGAAAGCTAACTAGCTGAGAAAGCAAAATCATCACTGTTCAACTGCAAAAGAAGGCAGCAAGTTCTTTAAAAGAAAATTTAATACAAATTATAACAATGCACAACAATGATTTGGTCATGAAAACCACACAGAGTGTGAAACAATATATTATCATTAAAAAATTTTTGAGTACACCAAGCAATCCACATACAAATGCACATAATTGTTTTGAGCTGACACCACATCCTAAATGTCTGCAGCTATTACTCAAAGTTCTCTCTTGAAAGACTTACCTTGCTAAGGTTTGAGTACAGGTCCACTACACTGTTACAGAATTTTTCCACATCCTGTGTAAGGAGCTGATCTGGATTAGCTATTCTGTTGTCCAGATTTCCCATTTTGTAGTATGTATAAGATCTGAAACAAAACAATAGCTAAGTGGCAGAAAAAAAATCTTTACCTGGGATCTGAGATAATTGGAATCCCTTTGCTTCATACAACTGAGATAGAAAGTAGTGCAAACACTAAATGACTGTATGGAGTCAATACAGCTTGTGCTTCTGCCTGATCAAATGTACATTAAATCCTGCAGGATTTTTTAGGCTCCATGATGTCTCAGTTAAAGCTCAGGCCCATGCTGCTATGGAACTTAGCTAGAAAACCCTCACAAACTGCTTCAGCACATCTAACAACCAATATTCAGTGCAGAAGGACAGAAGAACCTACTCAAGCTCATGTATCCAATTCAGTCTGCACTATATAAAAGGAACTGAAGTACTCTGGAAGCTGACCGAGTCATGGAAGCAGTAGGTTGCATTTTTCCCCCCAAGTTGAGCCAATTTCGTTGTCTTCTTATCTGTGCTACATGCAACCTGGCTAAGCCACTCATCTTCAACAGCAAGATAATTGCAGTGAAAAGCCTTTTCTGAGCAGTGCACCTAACCTATTACACACCCCGCAGCCTGCTTACTATGTACTTAAAATGATTTGAATTAATTTTTCAAAACTTTGTACATTAACAAGATGTTACTTACTTAAGATATTCCTCATAGAGGTATCTGGTAAGTCTTACTCGGAAGCAAAGTTTCAATTCATTTAGACCATACTTCAGGAAGTTATTCACTAGAGAGATCTAAAATAAAAAGACAGTATTTCAATATTCAGCTAACAAGGTCGAATACATTGAGATGAGTTTTCAGCATAAATTGTATAAATACTTTAGAACAGGTGAATTCTCCCCCTAAGTTGCTAATACTACTAACACACCTAAGACCAACTATATAGTGTCTACAGGACTGCTGTTTAGGTTTGTCTCTAGTTCCCAGTGGAATTCACCACTTAAAAAAGATAGACTTAGCATATTTTCAGCTTTTCTGATAAGCTCTAGAAAAGAGCCACCATTTGACAACCACTCCCTCAAATTTGTCAATTTGTTTTAAAATCTACTGTCAACCAGGTACATTATCTATTAGGCAGTAACAATTACTCCTATCTGGCGCAGGTCAGAGATGTCAACAAGCTGAAGGAAAGTTAATGGGTGAAAAACCCACAAAAAATCTCTGAAAAATATAAGAAATATAAAGTCTAAAAAAAAAAATCTTCACCTTCAATGGTTCCAAAAGAATCCCAAATCTATGATACTGAAATATAATCCAACCCATAAGATGTCATTCTGCAGTACTACAGATGGCACATCAACAAAAAACAACCTGAAAACCTAAATATATCTGTCAGAAAAATAGTTGCAACCAATAAGGAAACATGCTGATAAAGTCTCCCACACACTACAGCCAGAAAATTAAATGTGTCTTAATACAGACATGATGTAAACCAACTAATTTCCATGGGTTTTAAGACACTCCTTTGAGATCTTCTCCTCAAATTTTTAATTTACATTTAAAGTCTGTTCTACTAGGAGGTCAGCATAAGAAGAGCACTTACAGCAGGCATCGCGGCAATGAAGTTGAACAAGTATTTCTTGAAATCTTTTCTGCTGCGGCCAATGATAGCACTGCAAATGACCACCAGCTAAGAGTTAGTTACAAGAGAAACAACCAAGTATAAACTAGCATGTCTTAAGTGGTTAAAGTCTCAGAGGACCACACAGAAAAAACCCAAAACATTATGAAAATGTGTAGTATCAGCTGTAGGATCCAGTCAGACACACTTGTCTAGTTAAGTGGCAAGTGGCAGACTAAGCAGTTAACTCCCTTCTGCTCCTGCTGCAACTGCCTGCACTAAGGGCTCAGAAATTCATGGTCATGGAATACCAGTCCCTTCCCTTCTTTGCTTTCATAGATTCTCACTAGAGAAACAAAGCAGTTCTTCCATTCTAGGAAGCCCTTCATGTCTCTCCTGAAACACAGTATCACTTTGAGTTCAGACTTCAACAGACAATCTGATTTGCTTCAATTTCAACAAGATCAACAAGAATAATCAAAGGTCTAAAAAACACTAAGATGGTAAGACTGGAATAAACTGTTTTTATCAACCTAAGGAGTAAACAGCTCAGTAGGAAGAAACAACAGTCCTAATAACCATACATGTCTAAGCCTATGTCACCACACCCCTATGCCACCACTATTCTGAAGTGCCTCATTAGACATCCAGATCAGTAAGACTTAAGAGTCTTCAGCATACAAAATGTGACCAAAACAACTAAAAATCATTTCATAAATAAATTATAACAATAACAAATAACAAATAAATAACAATTGTTTGCTACAGCAGAAAAATTTGATCAAATTTTTTGCTTAAAAAAAATAGTGGTCCCTCTCCAAATTACAACTATAACAGTTTTCCAGTTGTTTTAAAACAAACAAGCTATAAAATGTCTGAATACATATTCTGGCAGACTACTTTCCCTGAGAAGCACAAGAATGAATGTTCAAAAATAACAAGTGTATATGTACCTTTCAATGACTGTTCCATTTTGAATCATCCAAATATCACAGTAAGTGCGGACCACCAGCATCACAGCAATAAGCAGCAAATAGCCTGTCTAGTACAATAGAAGTATAACAATTAAACAATGCATTAAATTCACCCTTTTTTCTAGTAAGTGCTCCAACCATATCTAGAAGTATTACCCTGCTGCCACCAGCTAATGTAGTATTTGCTTATTCTGCAGGAAATATATTAACATACGATAATTTTCGTAAGGTACTGAACACATTCTTATGAAGAAAGTTTGTCTTTTAAAAAGCTATGTTTGGTTGATATATATATACAGGACACATCCTGTAAGATGGAAGACGTAGCGATAAAGTAGCGACTGCTATTTTGAGACAATTCTGCCTAAGGTTGCAAGAGACCTTTGAACATCACATACTCCAACACTCCACTCAAAACAGGCCACTAGCAACCAGTCGCACCTTGTACTGTTGACCAAGAGACCTCTCAGTCCAACAGTCCAGCTCGCTTTTCAACCACCTCACTGGTCACTCATCCAGCCAATTAAGTTTGGCTGTCAAGGTACTAAGGGAGACCTTAGGCCTCAAGGCCTCGCTGACATCAAAGTATTCAACATCCTCTGTTCTTCCCTTATCACCAGAGCCAGTTGTCTCACCACTGAGAGCAATCAGGTTAGCAGGGCATCATCTGCCACTGGTGGAACCAGGTTGTCTCTTTGCAATCACTTTTTTGTCCATTGGGGGGCCAGAGTCAGCTTCCAGGATGATTTGCTTACAGCCTTACTAGGAATATGGTGAGGCTGACCAGTCCATAGTTTCCAGTACACTTGTTTTCAAATATCAGAGCCATGTTTGGGGTTTTGGGGATTATCAGTAACCTCTTCTGATGGCCACAACCTTTTGAAGGTGATGAAGGCCTGCTCTGTGAGCACTCTCACAAGCATTCCCATCTATGCTTCTACCCTCCACATCCTTCCTTTCTGCAAATGGGCTCTTGAAGGTCCTTGTTCATGCAGGCCAGCTGGCTGCCACACTTGCTCTACACTCTGTACATCAGAATTCATTGCTCTTGTGACTGGCATATGTTAAAGTTCTTACAGTTCAACACTTAAGTTCTGAGCTCAACTAATGCACTTTTTAAAAAAAAACGTGTCCTGGAAAGCAGGAGAAAGATTTTGAGGTGAACAATTTTATTTTGATGAATTTCCTCTGCATAGCTTACCTGAAATGATGCTAAGAGACTTTTTGACAAATTCATTTTCTAATAAGGGTTGGCCTAGATATAAGTTACTAAAGCATATGCTGTTTAAAGATAGGAAGCATTTGCACATAGAACTGTACTACCTTGCATCAAACAGACAAAACCCAGATGCTCTTAATTATGCTAGACTGTAGTTATCAGTTGACAGTAAATGGCTTATCTGTAACTGAAACCAGAATGCAACTTTTTAGTGATCTGACAACTTAAACGTAGACTTTTATATTAATATGCTGCTATTTTAAAATACATAGCACAGTTCAGTCCTAGTCAAGTAATGTATATGCTTCTGAAATTATGTCAGAATTTAAATGAAAGGAACCTGACTCATTTTTATTTGTTATTGCAGGCAATGCTTACCTCCTTGCAAAGTGTTCTAGGGACCATTATTTTCAGGATTCGACATATCCTTGCAATAAACACTCTGTCCACCATCGCTCGCTCCTTCTTTCCCTCCTTCTGCTCCACATAGAAGAAGCAAAAACAAGAAAAGTGAGAATTTCCCTGTAATGTATTATTTAAATGTTGATATTTTCCCCCCTATCCAAGTTATTTACAGCTACCTTCCTTCTGCAGCATTTGCAATGTTTCCCTCTGATCTATGACTTGCTCAGACAAGTTAAATAACATGCAAGAATTGGGACCTATCAAAACAAATCTCAATAGGAAGTAGCTGCCATGATACAAAATAGCTTTTATTTCAGATCTTTGTTAAAGGTGATATACAAACACTGCAGACCACAGCATTAAAACACCCAGCTACAAGTTGTAATGCAATCTACTATCTCTTAACATTGCTTGTCTCTAAAAGACATCATCAGTCAGTATTTTTAAAGGTGCCTTCCATCATTTGTCTAGACAATGGTTTAAACTCTCTGACTGTACAACCCAAACTTGCTCCAAGTGAAACCATAATTTTTTATTTTTTTACTTCTACAAAATGGTGCAATACACTCCTAGGGAGCTAAATCTATCAGACTTAAAACCCCAAGCATTTTCTTTATTTGGGTCAGTTGTATTTATTTACTCCACATAACCCCTATCTTCTGTCCTGACTAACCTGAATACTTTTTAAAAGCTAACGGTCCAGGTATCTTTACTTTTTTTGTTCTTTCACATAAAGATGTGACAGAAGAATTCAGTCCTGAAAACACACCAAAAGGGCATGCATGTACTTCAAACAAGTCCTGTCTAATCACCCCAATCCTGCTATCTTTGCCACACAAGGCTCAGGTGAAGAATGTTATCAATGCCTATATCAATATTACAAGATAAATAGGAAACCTAAAAGAGAAAAAGTTCCCCCTGAATGCTCTGTGACTAAGCCTACACCTGTTTTTCATAGGATGAATTCAACTAGTCTCACCCTTTTCAAAAACTATGCCAATGCAAACTACAAATAATATTGTAGCCAGACAGGACGCTATGTGACAGATGATCAAAATATTTTCATTAAAATTATTTATACAAAAATCCAAACAACTAAAGACTACTGTCCAGACCTAATGAAGCATGATCCTACCTATGGTATTGCTTTTCTGCAGTAGAAATGACTAACACAATGTCTGATGTGTTACATTTCTAGGAGTACCTGACTAAACATATTTGATGTATGAGATGAACCTGGTTTTCCTCTCTATTCAGCTTTTCCCCATTTTTAGTTCTGTGTTGCACTTATATTCATTCCAGAAGTTCCTTTTTCCTTAGACTGTTAATTCCTCATCCAGTATAATTGTACCCAAGATGGGTAAGGATAAGAGACAGCTAGTTAAGATTTTTACAGGGAGGCATAGCTATGCAAAAGGGAAGTGATGATGGCAGATAACACAGCCCAGGTTTGGCTAGAAGCTAACACGATGCCTGCACACACCTTTATACTTACTCAGTGCAAGCCTTAAGTGTTCAGCAAAGATGAAAGTACAGGGAATTTATCATACCATCATAAGACCTGATATTTCTAATCATGGACTTTGCCTTTTGGTCTCTCGTATTTTATCTGAATACAAAACAACCCAACTTGCCTTAGAGGAATTTAATCTATCTGTTTCAAATAAATGAATTAACAGACACATAAAAGACCAGGGAAATGCCAAACTTCTGACCAGAAGTCTGAAGTAGTTTTTAAAAACTGTCAGACTCTACATCTTGTTCCATACTTTTCGCTTTTCAATAAAAAGTAAATACAAGTTACACCAAATCTACACACAGCTGTTTGTTGCTATACATACAAACTTACAACACTAGTCCTTACACATTCATAAACACTGAGATAAAAAAAGCACATGGTACACATCAAGTGCATATCATTATAGAGTCAAACTTCAGCCTCTTGTAACCTGATTCCTCCATTCGTTGCACTAATGCAAGCCTGAAAGTATCATTCAAGTCCTATTTGCACCATAGCCATCATTCTGTCCAAAATTAAACTACAAGACTTAAAGTTCAAAAAAACCCCAGATTTATTTTAAATTATTAAAGAATATATGAGATGAAGGAAGAATTACCTCATTGTTCTGCAATGCTTGTTTTCCACTTCTTTTACTGTAGGGGAAAAAAAATGTTACTTGTTATTAACATACTTTTCTGTGTCTTGATCTTTACACAGAAAAGACAAAAAGGAAAGCATGGGACTATATCCCTACCTACTTCTTTCAAAGCAACGGTGTCTTCTGCAGGGCTACCTTTTATGTCAAACTTAGGTGCTGTTTTTATACAAATTTCCATGAAACCTTACCCAGCAACCAGTTGCAGGTAGGGAAACCAAAGTCTCATTCTTGCATCTGGAGTTCTGCCTTACCTTGGCTCTGTATCACCAACTCCTAGGGTTTTTATGTCTCTCATATATACTTTACAAGCATGGCTACATGGTTCCACTGACCACAAATGAAAACTACAGGAATGCAGATTCAGCAATCCAAGCAACCCAACTTTGATGCTTCACACTATCTACATAAGCCAAACAGATTTGTTTTGCATTGTATTTGACTTTCAAATAACACATTTTACTATATAGAGAGATTATTTGTTCATAAACAAGTGCTGCAGGGGAAAAAAGTCAGATCCTGTGAAACCAAGTTCCTGCAAAGCTGTGTATTGGAAGAGGAGTCAGTTCTCATTCTGCCCATTTTCATTGCCCTGCATCTGACAGAACAGTTAGAAGAAAAATGTTTATCAGCTAGTGCTAAACAAACATTCACAAGCACAATGCTATTCTTTTTCCTCTATGTTTAAGAAAGACAAGCTGACATATAAAACAGTTGTAGTTGGTCTTTCTCCCATTCAGAACACTCAAGCCATCAGACAAGCACATGAAGTTGTTGGGAGAGATTATGTATTTAGGTAGTTTAAGCGACACCTAACCATATTAAACTGTAACTAACCATTTCTCAACCATGATACTGAAACATTTTAAGGCAGTCTTAAAACTACAATATTCACATGCTTTCAAGATGGCACCTAGGAAATTACAAGGAAGCAGAAACTGTGAAAGGCCCTGCTCCTTCTGCCTACAACATCAAAACAACTGCAGACTGCCACTCAACTAGCTACCCCACAATTTTATGAACAGCACCATTTCACACTTGTGCTTTAAAGCTCTGTGAAGAAAATACCTAAAATGAAACCATGCCTATTTTAATTTATGACGATTAGAAAGATCTATGGATGTCACTGACCAATGAAAAGAGAGACCTTAATTACTACGAAAGAAGAGGCAACATAGCAGAGGAATATGAGAAAAGAAGGGAAGGAGGAGACCATGAAAGTAAGAAGGGAGAGATGCCAGTTCAGCAAGAGCTTAATTAAAGGTAACAGAGACGGAAGTCTGAGCGAAGATAAAAATCTTGTAAGACTACTTGTGCAAAAGACAAAACAAAGAACATGAAGGGCAGCAGAGGGCAGACTGGGGGAGAAATAACTTAATAAAAGTTCAGAAGAGATATTCCATCAGGCTGTGATGGAAGTATGTCTGCAGAAATGGTAACAGTGTGCAAAGTCTCAGAAATAATCTAGTTAGACACTAGATCCTGGTGATGGAAGAGAAATGCATTGTTGGCTCAAGAAACTTCTCAACATATCTTGTAATCTTTCAAAGAAGACAAGATTGACCTGTGTTTTAAAATGTGTCCTTGAATATGGATCAGTCCAATCACATCTGGTTTGGTAGTAAGAAAAAAGTACTAATCTCCAGTATGAATAAGCAGTTATCAAACTATGTGGGTATTTCACTGGATGATTCATGACTTGCCATACTGCAAAATGAACACATGCTGCTCTTCCAGACAGGCTATAATAACTTCTAGCTTTGTTGCTTCAAGCCCTGTCAATGTTTGAAGTCACAACACTTGTAATACACAACTATTTCAGATTTAAAAGGATCAGAAGTGAAGATGTTAATATAGTACTCTATTAAGAAGATAAGGCCCAGAATTATTCAGGCAGTTAAGTTGAATATCTTTCATGTATTTATTGATAAATTTTACCTACAGCAGCTGTTTAGAGAAATTGAGTAGCTGCAACTACTGACTGAGCTGAAACCGATTATCCATTAAAGAGACTGTTCAGAAATCAAGATCTTGTGCTTAATTGTGAATTCATATTTAATTAGAATTTATATTTAAATAACAAAATAAATAATGAAAAAAGAGCTTTAACAGTGTTTAGATCTCCTTTTCTAAAAACAACTTCATACAAGCTCAAAACAAGATTAATATTTCAAAAAGAAAGGAAACCATCTTATACATGAAATCTGGGGGGAAAAAAGTGCCTACATAGTGCTAATGTGGGTCTTGCTATTAAGAAAAATAATAATCCATTGTTATTTTAACAAGTAAAAACATTTTTCTTGCAACAAAGTACTGTGCCATAGTTCTGCCTGGAATAAAACTTCCACCAGCTGATTACTGCACCTCTCTTTCTTCACCAGAGTCTCATTTTTTCAGTCTGGTACCTATTGGCACTACTCCTGATTCCATTATACTACTGTAGAACTTTTTTTTGGTGAGAACTGTGGTTGCATTCTCATTGAATTTAAATACTAAATAACACCCTCAATTAGTCAGCAAGAATACAGCAAGACTATCTGGTTACAGCAGAGAGTTCTAACATTTGGAATAGATTCAAGGTCTCTATTATTCCAGACCTCTCATTTTGTTCCTTCACACCTTCACAGGCAATGAGGGGTGGGGATGAAGAGTTTTTCAAAAGGGTTACCCAAACAATATATAGAAAAAAAGATAAGAATAATTACAGTACTAAAACATTTCTAAGAGAGTCAAAAACTGTGGAATTTGTCATCAGATGTTTTCAAGATCTGACTGCACAAAGCCCTCAACAAACCAGTCTGAATTCAATGTGGATCCTGATTTGAGCAGACATTGGATTAAGTGACCTCTTGAGGCACCTTCTATCCTAAGTCACTTTTAAAAAAGAATTTAAAAAAAGTAAAAATTTTTTAACATGAAGAGGTGTGAGGTATAAAGGGACACTTATCGACTGAAGATGTTTTGGGAAAAGCAGCATCTCAGATGTAGCCAGCTACCCATTATTTAACTTTTACAGCAAACACAGGTGTAAAACAGCAGCACTGGGATGGTACAACTACACCCAACTTGTCATTCATTCATGCATGGTAACTGAATAGCTACTCGCTAAAGATAAGCAAATAGGCAAGTAATTACCCAATGGACAGTAGGCAATACAACAGAACACCTTTCTCCAGTACCAAGAAACATGATCAGCTCAAGCCAGCAAGATGTGTTAAAGAAAAAATAAAGAGTTTCAGGATTCTGTGCATGCATTTGACAGCTGATCCAACTTCAAGGGCAACAGTGTAGCTCAGGGGGAAGGCAGAAAACTTGGTAATACTAAGCAACTTCAGTCTCCAAACAAGTACTGGTCACAGCAATCACTCTTTTGACTCTATTTACATACCAGTGGGGCTATTCTCTCTAAAGAAACATGCAACAATACTGGTTACTCAAAAAGGATCATTCTCAACACCACTGAAGAAGAAAGTGATTTCAGAGAACTGTGAAAAGCCTTCAAGAGGCCACTGAGTCTATTTACTGAAAGGTCTCAGGCATACTAGCTCTATGGTATTTACCAGCAAACAGGAACAAGTTAAAGGATTACAGTCTTTAGAAACACTTGTCTCAATCCAGAACAAAGTTCAGAGGAAGCAATCTACACTGAGTTAAGCATAACAGGTAATGGCAGATGAAGAGAGTGGTAAACAAGACTTCCAGTTTAACGAGACAAGCAGAAATAAGGGCTTGAAAATGTTACGCTGCCCTTAACTGAAAAAAGCCTATAAATTTCAGGTCATGCTACCTTCCTTCTGTACAGCAGGATGACTAACTTCTGCCCAACACAGTGCAAAGAAAGCATATCTGTTTTAGGACAAAGTGTGGCATTTCAAAGAGTTGTCACCTATAGGCAACCTTTGTATTTTGCAGACCTTAGATTCTAAAGTGGCACTGGGCAATTTTCACAGCTTTACGATCAATGATTTTGTAATAGCTTGCGATTATTTGTGCAGTTTTCAGGTTAGTTTTGCAGTCAAGGTACTCATGAGACATTGTAAAGACAGAATAAAATTCAAATGACTAAAGATGCAGCATACAACATTACAGCATGAAGAAAGAACAATGAGAAAAGTGTGCTGTTGCACATTCATTGGCAGGCACAGCTTCAAACTGCACACCAGACACGGAGGAGTGGAAAGCAACAGCACAGTTATTTCAGGTCAAGGGCAGCAACCTTACTGGGAAGCCTGGGCACAGTCCAACAGCATGCCCATTTACACAGTACACCCTGAGCACACACAGAAACCAAGAGCAGAGTTTTCTTGGCTCCAGGTTGGTGGCTAGTTGCAGCATAACCAAAAATAATGTGAGGGGAATGTATTCAGGCAACCAAGGGACTCTGAGAAGGTCACAGACAGCTAAGTCATTGCAAGCAGGAGCTCCGAAGTGCTCTGCAGTGCTAAAGCTCAAAAGGTTTCTACAAACCTTTGAGAAGAAGGTGACAATGCAGAACTGTTGTAGAGGACATTCTAAGTTTCAGCAGAAGTTTGCATGTCGATAACAAAGTTTACATGTGAGAGAAACCTTAGTGCTATTAATTTTTCCATAAGCTGTGCTCTGGCCTGAGCTGTGGCTGTAGCACTCCCTCATGGATAACAGTGGAAAAGACTTCTAGCTAGTTTCCTGAAAAATGAAAAAGAAAATAGTTTCACACTGTTACACACACTTAGCCTACGTCTTGCCTTAGACAGCAAGCATTTTATGCAACTTAATAAGCGAGAAACCACTAATTAGCTACCCAGGCCCAAAACAAAGGCACTCTAAACGCTAGGAGCAGGGCTGAGTCATCTGGTTTCACCTGTCTCCATACCCTCCAGCTGAAAACAGGTATTCTGAGCCCCAGGCAGGTTTTTCTACAAGACTGGATTTTAGATGCATCTTCTAGTAAACCCATCTGTATGTTCAGTCTTTTTTCTTTTTCTTTTTTATTTTTTTAAGGGTAGTGCACA